TGGTTTTTCTCCGGTACCGGGAACCGAACTCACGACCTTGCGCTTGCCAGGCAGGCGCTTTTGCCGCTGAGCTAAATCCCCAGCCCCCAAAAAAAATTTTTTAAGGGGCGAGGGAACTCGGCCCTGGAGCACTGACCCAGTATGTGAACCACTAGGTTCACCCCCTAGTACTGAACTGCAAAAAGCAAGTCAGTAGCAGTTTTTCTCTTTTTGGACACATGACCCTGGATGAAGTCTGCTCCTCTCTGTTTTTAAGCATTTCTGGCGCAGCCTGGATGAGCGAGTCCAGCAGGGTGGGCCGGCGGGGGGGGGGGTGCCTGGCGCTCTGCAAGTGCCAGGCACTGTGACCACACCTCTGTTCCCACCTGCTCTGCACTGTGTGCAGGCGCGGAGGCTCTTGCTGGGGCCCCGGGGCAGAGGTGTTCTCTCCCGAGGCAGCACAGCCGCTGTTCACTGCTTTCAGGGCCCAACGCAGGCCAGATCCAGGAGGGGATCGGAGAAGCAGTGAATAACATCGTGAAGCATTTCCACAAGCCTGAGAAGGAGGTAGGGGCTGCGTGGGGGCTGCGGCCGGGCCGGGTGGTGCGGGGTCTCCAGTGCACCCCGGCGGGGAGGCCCCTCTTCCCTTTGCACAGCGTGCCCCGCTTCTCAGAGGGGGAGCCTGACCGTGTTGCTCTGTGGAGAGAACGGCCTGGTTGCAGCCCTCGAGCAAGTTTTCCACCACGGCTTCAAGTCAGCCCGCATCTTTCATAAGAATGTCTTCATATGGGACTTCGTGGGTGAGTCGCCGCCAGGTCCCTGAAGCGCCTCCTGGAGAACACAGGGCCCGGGAACCCGAGGGACGACAGGACAGAGGTGCAGGAGGAGGCTTTACGCATAAATACCAAGTCCGCACTGCCCTTGATACACACTCAACAGATGCTTACAGACACAGCTTTCCATGCAGCATTTGGAGACCTACACCACGCTGTGGGGTGGGAGGGCCAGTAGTACACAGAGTGTTAACAAATACATAATTCATAAGGTACATTGGAGCCGGCTGCAGTGTGCACGCTTGTAATCCCAGCACTCTGGGAGGCTGAGGCGGGAGGATTGCAGGTTTAAGCCCAGCATGGACAGCTTAGTGACTTAGCAAGACGCTGTCCAAAATTTGGAAGGCGAGGGTGCCCTGGGCCATGCATGTAGCTCAGTGTGAAGGCCCGGGGTTCGTCCCCAGTCAGAACAGCAAAAATAGCAGTAAACCTTCCAGGCTTCTGGGACGCAGCCTGGTTGGAAGACGTCCTGGGAGCACATTGTTCCAGCATGGACCAAGCACCCCGAGGGTTCGTCCTGAGCCAAGGATGGAGTCAGGCTTGAGTTCAGGACCAGCCGCCACGAGCGCCTGGCGGGAGAAGCGAGGGTGCGGCTCTCCCGTGGGTGAAGCGCGGGCTGTGCTGTGCTGTGACCCTGCTTTCCTCCCCCAGAGAAGGCAGTCGCTTACTTTGAAGCCACCGACCAGCTTCTAGACAGCGCAGACGAGGCCCTTCTTCAGAAATCGGCCTGCAGAACCTTCTGCCACTACGTGAACGCCATCAATACCGCACCCAGGAGCATTGGGAAGGATGGCAAATTCCAGATTTTAGTTTGCCTTGGAACACGGTATAAAACCCATTTATTACTTTCCTCCCTAGTTGCTTGTTAAGCAGGAGTCCAGAATTACAGCAAAGCTCACTTTTGTCTTCATCCCAAGTTTTATTATAAAACTACTGTTTCCTGATGCCCCCACCACCTCCCTGCCGCCCCTGTGTGTAGCTCCCATTTCCTGGAAGGAGAGCCCTGAGTGCCATGTGAACAGTGGACTCTGAAAGGGTACCAGGAAGTCCAGCGCCCTAAGTAAATTCTCTAGAGCTGTGGGTAGAGCTCCGCTGCAGAGTGCACACCTACAGGCCTAGCACTCTGGGAGGCTGAGGCAGGAGGACTGCAAGTGTGAGCCCAGCATGGACAGCTTAGTGACTTAGCAAGACCCTGCCCAAAATTCAGAAGGCGAGGGTGCCGTAGGCCGTGCATGTAGCTCAGTGTGAAGGCCCTGGGTTCAGTCCCCAGTCAGAACAGCAAAAATAGCAGTAAACCTTCCAGCCTTCTGGGGCGCAGCCTTGGTTGGAAAATTTCCAGGAAGCACATTGTTCCAGCATGGGCCAAGCACCCTGAGGACTCGTCCTGAGCCAAGGATGGAGGCAGGGGCTTGACTTCCGGACTGAGGAAGCAGGAAATGGATGAGGCATAGTTGGATCAGCAGACTTCCCCAGGCACACCGCAGAAAGGGAAAAGCCTCGAGTCACCCCCATTCCCACGAGAGCCGCTGGTCCCACAGGTGGGGGCACCGGGGGAGCTGGGGGAGCTGATGGCTGCTCCGGCACACAGCGTACCTCCCTACGGCGCTGCTTTAGACTGTGTGACGTCATGGCTCTTGTTACCTGGGTGTCATCTTCTCTTTCTATTTCCTACCTTTGTTTTTGATTTTATCATAGTTTATGTACAGTGGTGCCTCGTTCACGAATGCTTTTTTTGTAAACAATTTGATTTGTAAGCAGAAGTGTTCTGCAGAATTTTGCTTTCGTTCACAAACCCAGCATCAGGTGAGGAGCACAACCACAGCCGTCTTTTCCAGAATCGTGGAGTGAGCTGAATTTGTGAACCGAGGCACCACTGTACTTCTGTTGCGAGAGAGCAAACCCCGACACTGACGCAGACCCTCCCCCTCCGAGAGAAAAAGGCATACAAAGGAACAGCCTGCTCTTCGTTACTGCTCGTTTTTGTGCTCCTGGGCTGTGGCTGTGGCCTGGCACTTGCTAAACACCTGTATTACCGAGCCCTAGGCCAGCCCTCCACAGCCCACCCCACGCAGGAGATGGAAGCCACAGCGTTCGCAGTTACTTCTTTAGCCCTTTTAGGGTTTTGACACAGGCTCTCACTAAGTTGCTAATGTGCCCATGCTGGACTCAAGCTTGAGATCTTCCTGCCTCAGCCCCGCAGAGTACTGAGATTACAGGCCATATTCTTTTTAAAGAATATAGGATCTCAGATGTACTAAACAAGAATATAGGATCTCAGATGTACTAAACAAGCACCCTGTGTGCTGCCCGCAGAGTTGTAGGGAATTTATTCAGGGCTCTGCACTTCCTGATACCCTTTCGGCATCTGGTGGGGTCAGCTGTTAGCCTGGCACTCTCACCCGCCCCTTGGCCAGCCACCCCTGCCTGTGGGCACGGCCTTGATTGCCACTGGACGTGTGGGGCTCAGGCTGCTCTGCTCGGCTCCGCAGGGACCGCCTGCTCCCCCAGTGGATCCCGCTGCTGGCCGAGTGCCCCGCCATCACCCGCATGTACGAGGAGAGCGCGCTGCTGCGAGACCACATGACGGTCAACTCGCTCATCCGGGTCCTGCAGACCATCCAGGACTTCAGCATTGTCCTGGAGGGCTCGCTCGTCAAAGGCGTGGACGTGTGAAGGAGGGGAAGAAGGGCCAGTGGGCTTGCCCGCTGCGGGCCAGGGCCAGCGCCAGGGCCAGGGCAGGGCCGGGGGATCTGTTTGTCTGGGCAGCCAGGCCAGGCTGCTGGACTGTAGTTCACTTGAACCTGGAATTTAGTATAAAATAGAGTATTTTCATGTGGTAGATGTGTGTAAATACGCTGTCTTCTGTAAGAAGTTCTATTCCCTAATAAGATACTTTTCTTAGATCAACTATTCCTGTGACTTACAGTGCGTAGTCTGAAATGTCAGGGTGGGGCAGTGGTGCTAGTCGGGAAGAAGCCAATGACCCATCAGCACCGGCGTGTCGCGGAATGGCCTCCTCGTGGTGCAGCCCTTGGGGTGGCCAGTGGACCGTCACCGTAGCCTCAGTTTAAACATCTGACACCTTTCCCTTCATTCCGAGTCACTGCTCCAGCCTTTGCAGCAGTCCTTCAGCCACACGAGGTAAAGATGGTGATTTAAATACAGGCCCCAGGAGTTGGGCTGCACTGGAAAGAGCCCTCGAAGGCAGCCCTGGCAGTGTAGGACTGTGGGGGTGTAACATCTTCCATGCCTGGAGGAGAATAGCCCAGACTAACTCCTGCTTGGAGTATTTGCTCGTGTTGCTGCAGGTGTGGGAGGTTTCAGAGTGTTAGCAGCTCGCTTCTCCAGCAGCACCTTCGGCTGCAGGGCCTGTACCCTGACGTCACAGCCCTGGCCTGCCCGTCCCTCCCTCAGAAACGAAAGGACTGTGGAGGGAGGAGGTGGGGCAGGCCTCTGTGGGACCTGGCATGTTCTGTGAAAGTGTTCGTTGACCGTGATAATATAAATAACAGGAGAGGGGGCGAATGAACCCTTTCTGGGTGTCTCAGGGCGAGCTTTGTGTCCCTTTGTGAGAAGGGGCAATAATGTGAAACAGCTGGCCACAGAAGTTAAAGGCCACTGCAGCACACACTGCCTGAAAGGAAGCAAACCAGGAGGCAATCGTTTTTGAAAGCAAAAGTTGTAACTTCGCGATTTGATGGTTTGGTTTGGTCTTGCTTTTGGTTTTTAGAGAGAAGGTCTAAATTACCCAGACTGGGCCCAAACTTGCCATCTTCCTGCCTCAGCCTCGCAGGGTGTTGAAATGCAGGCCTGCCTCACACACCTGGGCAGTTTGACAGTTTATAAAGAAGCTAAGTGAATATAGTGTCAGCTGGTTACTTTAGCTTCGTCTTCAGGCAGGTCTTGGAACTAACTAGGCACCGGCACATGGTTAGCAGAATTGCCTCAGCAGAGCTCAGCTTTTATTCCCCCATGGGGAGAAGTGGGCCAAGACCCCACAGGACCCTGCGGGATTGGAGGCCTGGGCTTCAGCTGGCATTGTTTCCTGGCGGAAGGGAGTAACGGAACAGTGCCTACCTCGTCAGCAACTCGGCCTCGAGCCCTGGCGCAGCCCCTTGGACAGGGGCTTGAAGCCCGGGGAGAGGGCACCAAGCGCTGCGTCTGGAGACCATGGCGTACACAAGGGCGGTGGGAGGTGGAGTGCTGCAGGGCCGCAGCCGCCCTGGGGTGGAGGAGAGGGGGAGGCTTCGGCGCGGCCTCCCCTGGTTCACTGTGTTTAGTGATCGAGGCCAGAGGGCCCGAGTTTGAGGGCAGACTGAGCAGCCTAGGAGACCTTGCCTCGTAAAAAGCCGCTGAGACACTGTAGGTGGCCCAGGGCAGGATGTCACTCCTGCTGTCCTTCTTTCAGGCCCCGCTCCCAGACTCCAGGCCAGGGCGGCATCCTCTCGTCCACCTTTCCACTGAACGGATGGAAACCGAGCACTTGGGGCCTGGGGACACGGGGCTAGCCTACCCCACTGGCCACCGCACTGCTTGTTACACCAGGCTGCAGGACACCCCCTGCAAGGCGTCTGTATTCATCTGCCTGTATGGGTAGGAAGTAATAGTCCGTAATGTTCATTGATAAGCACTGATAATTCACTAGAAGTAATATCTCCTGTAAAAACTGGGAGCAAGTTTGTATGTGGGACTTATGGGTAACAGCTCGTTCTTTTGAATAATTCCAGCTCTGGTAAATCTTAGCCTTTCAAAATAAATTTAATAAGGAAATAGCATAAAGTACTGAAGACGCAAGTTAGATGCATAAAAAGAATGCTGCAACTGGGTTTGGAGTCACTGAGTGCGATTATAATTTCATTTTCCTGTGGCTTTCACCTGTCTCTGAGCCAATACCAAAATATTTTGAGCAAGCAAGTAGCAGAACCCCTGAATAAATGCCCATACCTGCTCACACTTTTGATGGACCATGCCCACTTAGAGGTATCTTCTCTGTTACTTTTTAAAATCCGTGTATTGCTTTAGAATCACACCTCAGAGAAAATAGCCAATGCTCTGTTTGCTCCCCCGCCCAAACTAAAAGCTAATGCCTGGGACCATAAGTAGTATTTTCACATCATAACAGCTTGAGAAGAAACTTTCAGAATGGAGTTGCTGGGCCGGGATGTAGCTCAGTGACAGCCTTTGCTGGCACAGCCTGGGTGTCCTCCCCGCCACTGCGAAGGCAAGGCAGTGCGCCTGGGTTTGCAGACTTGACCTGTCTGCGATCTGGGGGAAGGCGGCTGCGTTCGTTGGTGTGGGGAGGATGGCTGTGGTTGTGTTTACCACTCAGTGTGGAGTTTGCAAATGGAATTTTGCCAAATGCTTTTGTTTGCATACCAAACTGTTTGCAAACAGACGCATTCGCGGACCAAGGTCTTACTGTACACAAAGACATGGCTAAAACTTACCTCCTCAGAAATGTACTGTTTCTCACATGTTCTAGGACCTGCACTCCCACCTTCCTGACGTGATGGTGTTACCGACTTGGTAACCGTGAACCCTGTGCCAGCCCTGGGAGGAGCGGGCAGTGTCAGCACCTTAAAGATGGTGGCGGGGGGGGGGGGGGGGCAGCAGATGGGGCTCCCGTGGGGAGAGCAGGCTCCCGCCGTGTGTCTCCCTGGGAATGAGAGTTGGATACAAGAAATTAAAATGTGCAAAGGCTTGGATTTCCCTCTAAACTTTATTTTAAATATTTCACACATTTTTATACCTTTTGTAGTCCTGTGGTATTTATTTTAACATGGCTTTTACAAAATTGTTTTAATGAATTTGTCACTATGTGAATGATGTAAGGGAAGTACTGACTTGTTCGTATTTCCTTTTCTGGCAATAAAGCACTGTTGTATGTAACTGTAAGTGAAAAAGAGGCCAAGACTATGCATAGCAGCCTATGTGCAGTACGTTTGGACACCCTGAGATATTCTGAAACATGAAGCTATAGGCAAGGACCTCAGATCCCAGGGATGTATTTATTTGACAGCATTGAGAATATAGCTCTTCATAACAAAATATCTTCTGCTAAGAATTAAGACTTTTCAATAGAGTTTTTCATTTAGAAAACTGTGAGTATTTTCTGTGAGGTTTACAGAAACTAGTCTATCCTTTTCACAGTGTTGAAAGGACAATCAGATCTGTAGTATTTATATCTCAGTATTAACACACCTTCATTGATTGAGAAGGGTCTTGAGCTCTTTGTCTGTGAATGAACCCTGTTTCTACATGGTCTGCCTGTCTCTCACATGAGTATGTACCATGACCGTCTCGTGTGTGTAGGAGACAGGAAGGGTAGCCGACTGCGGGGCCCCCTGTACATCTGTGGAATCAAACTGAACGCTGAGTCTTTGGAAGAGCTTGCTGTTGCGCTGTGACCGAAGGAGTCGAGGCGCGCTGGCGGTAGCTCAGGTGTGCAGCACATGCGTAGCACGCGCAGGGCCCTGGCTCAGTCCCCGGCAAAACCGTAGCATCGAGGTTATCAACGCCAGCATGAAAACAAGTCATCAAGCAGAGTTACTCCACTCCGAAGCAGTCCAGCGTACCCTCGGGTTATGCAGGCAGCAGTGCCGCGTGGCCGGCTGACGGAGCGTGCCCGTGGGGTGGAGCCGTCTCTGTGCCACACGTCGCGTCCCGTTGACGGTGGAGAAGCACAGCGGAGTCTGGTCAGTGAATGCGGGTGTGAAGCGGACGCAGCCCGTGTTACACTTGAGCCGTGTGTAAATGTACCTTGTGTCTTTTTTTAATTAGCATTTCTGCATTTAAATTATATTTTTCCTTTGTATTGTTAACGAAGTGTATCGGAACTGGATTTTTTTCCTCATCTGAACGTAATACAAAATTTAAAGAGTATTGTGATATTAAGCACTTTAACATATCAGACAAACCGACATGGGTTTTTCAGGTTTTGGAGTACATTTAAATACGACTTTTCATGCTTTGTTCTTTACAAATAAAACTGTGGGGTTGATAACTTTCTTTTGTTTTATTATTGGAGAATTTTACCAAGTGTTTCACAGGGAAGGAGACGTAAAAAGCAGAGCCCAAACCCATGATTAAGTTGAAAAAAAAGGGCTGGGGATTTAGCTCAGCGGCACAGCGCCTGCCTGGCAAGCGCGAGGTCATCAGTTCGATTCCTGGTACGGGAAGAAAAAAAAGTTGAAAAAAAAAAAAAAAAGTGGCACCTGGTTATCCAGACAGGAGAACAGAGGCTGCCTTGGCACCGCACAGGAAGGCGGCTGGGAGCGGTGCAGGGCCTGGCCCGACCGCGGCCGCGCACACGTCCTGGGGCAGCCGCGCCCCGCTCGCGCCACCCCAGCGCCCGCAGAGCCCGGTCCTGTCTGGCCGAATGTCGGGGTGCCCTGGCGCAGTCAGGCTGACCCACTCCTCTCCTGTCACAAATAATAGTGGGAGCGCTGGGGTCGCCCCCGGGAGGGGGTGAATCCAGAGGGTCAGTGGCGTGCACGGAGCGGCCGCCACCCAAGGCCGGCGCGGTCTCGCGGTCACCGCGCAGCGAGGAGTCCTTTAGAGCCGGGTGGCCAAGCGGCTTCCTGTAATCTGTAAAACATGAGAGAGAATACAGTCTCACTGGACGAGATGGCAGAATTCACCATGGTAGTTCCAATGCATATTAGCCTGCTGTAATCCAGCGCTTCGGAGCAGAGGCGGGAGACCGCCGACTTAACCAGGCCCTGTCCTGAAGATTTTAAAAGAGCTAGAGATGGAGCTCAGGGCAGGGGCCCTAGGTTCAGCCCCCAGTTCCAGCCAATCAGTCTTGAGCTGGACGAAAGCGAGGCATGGCAATTTGTAGGCCGCATCTAGAGCAGAAAGGGGCGTTCGCACTGAAAGCTATGAGAAAAAGGCTCAAACCAGCTTCAGGAGCCCGCTCTTACTGAGCTGGAAGACAAAATGATCAGTCGTGAGATCGACAAGTCTCTACCCAGACTGAAGGCAGACAAGACAAAAATGATCAATATGAGGAATGAAAAGGTGACGTAACCAGATCCTACAAATACTAAAAAGGGTTAGAAGGAATATTATAAACAGTCTTTTGGCAAAAATTTACCTGAATGGATACAATTCTTGAAGGCATGAACTGCCAAAGCTCACTTAAGAAATAGATAACCAGAATCTCCTATATATAAAGAAATTAAATTGCTTGTTAACGCTCTCAGAAAGAAAACTCCAGGCCCAGATAAATTCACTAGAAAAGCTTCTCAAAAGTTAAAGAACAGCCAGGTGTAGTGGTGCACGCCTATAATCCCAGCACTCAGGAGGCTGAGGCAAGAGGATCTTTGTGAGTTCAAGGCCAGCCTGGGCTACAAAGTAAGCTCAAGGCCAGCATGAACTGCATAGCAAGACCCTGTCTCAAAACAAAAAAGTCAAAGAACACCCAGGGGTGTAGCTTAGCAGCACAGCTCCTGCCTGGCAAGCATGAGGTCCCGAGTTTGATTCCTGGCACCAAAAAAAAAAAAAGTTGAAGAAACAGTAAAAACTTATCAAGCTCTTGTAGAAAATTGATGAAGTGCAGTAGGACTTCAGTTCACGAACTCAGTTCATACCATGATTCTGGAGAAGATGGCCACATCCATGTTGGTGCGGCAGCAGTGGCTGCGGTCGTGTTCACCACCCGATGCAGAGTTCACAAAGAGAAACAATATGTCGCCGAACGCTTCTGTTTGTGAACCACATTGGTTGCACGCAAGCATTCAATAGCCCAGGTACCGCTGTGTATCTTAGTCACTAAGGTTGCTATGACAGTGTACTCCAGGTTGCCTTAAGCGTCAGGACTATTTGTTCAGTTTTGCAGACTCTGACACAGGGTATTGGCAGTGAGGTCTCCTAAGAGCCGTCTTCTCGGCGTGGAAATGGCCATCTTCTCTCGGCACTGTCCACCTCTGCCCTGGGCACGCCTGTGTCATTTCATCTCCTCATCTTTCAGCATCTCTTTAAAGACAGGTGAGGTGCTGAGGGTAGAACACCGACATTTGCATTCCAGGCAACTCTTTCCACTGCTGGTGGGAGTGTGAACTAGTACAACCACTATGGAACTCAGTGTGGAGATTGCTCAAAAAAATGAAACTGGAAATTCCATTTGGCCCAGCTGTTCCCCTTCTAGGTATCTTCCCAAAAGCGTTAAAGACACCATATTACAGTGACCGGTGCATACCTGTGTTTCTAGTAGCATAATTTATAATGGCTAAATCTTAGAAGCAGCCTATATATCCATCAATAGATGAATGGATAAAGAAAATATATCATTTATACACAATGGAGCACTACTCTGCCATAAAGAAGGATAAACTTGAGTCACTTTAGGAAAAAGGATGCACCTTAAAGATTTAAAAAAAAGGGCTGGGGATATATAGCTCAGTGGCATAAGCATCTGCCTGGCAAGCACAAGGTCCTGAGTTCGATTCCTGGTAACAACAACAAAAAAAGTAAAGATAAAAAAAACTAACAAAACAACAGCAGTGAAGACAAAATAAAAACAACACAAAAACAACAAAAATGATACATGACCTCAAAACAAATCGATAGGAATTAACAGTGGTTGCTACATTACATACTGTTATCTTCAACGAGGTTGCTCAGTCCACCAGACATAAGCATGTAAGATGGAGCAAACAATCAAAG